CTGAACTGACCTGACCTGACTGGCCAAAGGTATATTCCCTACCACAGAATGTCACCCTCAGTATATGAACTTGGGGGATGGCCCGGAGGTTGGCTGGTTGCTACTCAAGGATGGGCTGGGCATAGGTGAGCAAGTGGTGAGCAATCGCACTGTGCATCCCCTGTCTTTCCCTGGTTTTATTCCTCTCTCTCTTTTTGTAATCTCCCTTTTCATTACTATTACTAAAATTTGTTACTTTATTTCAATCATTAAACTTTTTTTATCTCAACACATGGGTTTTACCTTTTTCCAGTTCTCCTTCCCATTCCATTGCAGGGAGTGGGGTGTCCAATCAGCAGCTGCACCATACCCAGTTGCCCACTGGGATTAAACCATGACAACAATTTCACTGCACTCACTAAACCTATTCTTACAAACCAAAAGTTAAGCACATGCATCAGCATAAAATGGATACTATTTAAAACACGGCTCAGGAACCAGAACAGAAGACACCTCATTGTTATATATCTGCGTTGATTCTACATGATAAATAGGAGGAAAACCAAGTATCCTTCTATTAACACTAAAGCACAAATACTACTAAAAGTTTCCATCTTAGTGAATTCAGCATCTATCACCCAAGACTGCCCAAATATAAACAAACCAAAGTAATGGAGTTTTTCCGAGCCTGAAGATTAAGTACTTGCTTTTCCAAAAAGCAAGAAAATTTCAGAGATGCCACTTAGTATCTCACTATAAACAGACATAAATCACAAGATTGCTACAGGCGATGATAAAAGGCAACACCAGAGCTACTCAATAGGTCTTTAAAAGTCTAAGAAGGGATACAGTGTGGCAGACTACTATTACTGCTCCTGTAAATCACAAAAACACATAGCAGACTCCAAAACAAATATCCACTTCCTTCTTGGAAATTAGGTACTTCAAATTTTTGTCGTTAACCTACTGTCTCTGCTTGAATGCTACTTTGGTTTCAACTAAGTTAAAAATGTCACCTGCTACTTCACATATCTGTTCATGCAGATATTCGTATTGCATAACCGCGGCTGAGTTTCATTTGTTCAAAGCTCTACCTGGGTTTACCTCCCATAAACGTCTCCCTCTTCACATCTGTAAGAGGAGAACACTTCACATATAGCAGCGTCTCTCTTCTTGCTAGGAGGAAGCTATGCTTCCCAGTGTGTTACCTTCAGTATCAGAGCAGAGGTTTCACTGTCAAAGGTGTCAATTAGCCTCTGACTTACAGATGGCTAGAAAATACCTTACATTTTCACGTGATAAAAGAAAGTGGATGGCCAATTAAACATTGAATCCTTCAATGCTAGCACAGCGTAATTTTGTAGAAGTGTAACACTGATGCTCTATTAAAATATGAAAATGAGCCACACATAATGTTTAACATACCTGATCCACTACAACATGTCTCAGCATCAGTCTTTAAGTGACCACAAGATTTTTCAACATGTCTGGCATTTAATAATGACTAGAATTTCCTCTCATAAGACAGCTGCTTATAAACAGAGAGCAGGTAAGGATCTGGCTACCTACTGCAGCATTCCAGTAACTCTATTTTAAAATAATACCAGCTAACCTTCACCAAAACCTTTTACTACTAACTAAAAGTGGGATACCATTCTTCCACCTATTTTTTGGTTTCTCCATCATGCTGCAGCTTCATACTTCTGTTGCAAACACATTTTGTGGCTTTTCAATTTCAGCCCATAAAAAAGGTATCAGATTAATGAAACAACAGAAAAAGGAAAGAGATAAAGGTGAACAACTGACCCCTTGCCTAGACTAGGACCGTGATCTGATTTAATGTACTGTCGACTCATTTTAGAATTTTAATACAAGCTTAGCATAATACAGTATAGTACACATATTTAACCAGTCAACTTACTTCCTAGACTAACTTAACAGCTTCATCTTTGTTAGAGATGCACAGTACCTCATCTACCTCAGAATTGTAAAGGTTTCTTTGCACAGAAAAAGTAAAAAGTGTTATTTAAATCATACCTTGGAGAGCATCCCTGACAAAGAAATTGTTGCTGGTTTCATCTATTTAATTCAAATATTTAAGAGATGCAAAGTTGCAGGGATGTCTCTTAAATACACAATACACTACTTATTAAGTTAATGTATAGGGTTTATGATAAAATAGAAATAATAAAGCTCAGGTGTGAAAAGACTTAAAATACCTTTACAAAATACTCAAGAAGCCCCAAACTCAACTTAAAAAAAAAATTAAACATCCTTCATCTCTTTCCTGTAAACCAAAGAGCAAGATAATATTCCATATTTTAGTGATTTCCCAGAAATGACATTTAACTCAAGTGCTAAGTAATATGAAAAGTATATTTAGTCCTATAAGTAGTGAGGATTCATAGATCTTTATCCATAGCAAGGATAAACACACTTTTCAGAATTAAAGAATTCTTTAATTCTGAAAAGTGTGTTTATTCTTGCTATGGATAAATATCTTCATCAATATTTAAAAGTGGAATTTAGTGCTTACAATACATACTTCAAATGCAGAATGAATTAACTGCCATCCAGCTGCTCCCTTTTAAAAACATCTCTAGTTCCACCACTCTATTTCAGCTGAAAGGCGAGTACTGGAATAAGACAGAGAACAAACTTCTTTGTACTTTTTCCCAGTGTGCCTGCCCCCTTCCCCAGGCATTTGTGCTCCTCCTGCATCTAGAAGGAAATGGGGGAGGGGGCTGCTCTTCACGTTCAAGTGTAACTCAAAGCATTAAATCAAGAATAATTTAAGTACAGGTAATGTGAGCCACTTTGCCTTCAGAGAGGGACTTAAAAACTTCTAAATAACAAATTCAGCATGACCATTTAAGAAAAACTTTTCATTTTCTTTTTTAAAGAAACAAAGTCTAATAAGAATTTTAGTACACAGAAAGAAAACCTTTTTTTGTTCTTTTGCGATTTGTAGTATTTAGCTGGACTTTTATTCACTATCTCACTCCACGTATTTTCACATTCAGTGAAAAGTGATACTGACACCATAGTTTGACTGCCTTGGAATGTACAAATGTTCACAAAAAACATTTGCTTGCAACTTTGATAACCACTGAGTAATGCTGAAATTTGGCATTCAAGGCAGGGGAGCTAGTATAGTCTGTAAACAGCAGTTTTTATACATAACTGCTACATCAGTGTAACACTCATGTATAGCTCGCTAGTGGCAGAAAAAAAGAAATATCAGAGTCTTCTGTACCATAATTTTCAAATTCCATAAACTGAGTTTCATAAGAATTATGGTCTTATTTCTGGAAGCTTTAGGCAGCTTAAGGGCTATTTTATAGTAGTATTCATTTCCAAAATTCAGTACTAGGCCCTTCAGTGCACAGACTAAACAAATAGGAATAATGAAAAATGCACACACTAGATGCAACCTTTACAGTAAGAAAATTTAGCATGGACCTCCCCCAAAACCTATTTCAGTTAAGGCTTCTTTTTTTTTCTACATAAACAAAAAAAAAAGGGTCTTGAAGCCTGTACACAGCACTTCCAAATAGAGACTTCTTTGTTTCCACAGTATCAGCTGGTTATATGGGGAATGAGGTCTAGATCTAGCTTTGGTATAAAGGTATCCACCTAGAAATTTCTCTTAGTCTACATGCAATTCTGTATTTGCAGTCCAATAGCTTGGCAAAATCAGCCTGGGCTCTGAAGGCAGCTGTAAAATAAGGCCCTTACATTTTTCTAGGTGTTAGTTCAAGCTGCATAGCAACAATGCTCTTAGCACACAATTTAAAAGCACATCAACTACTGCTACCCTAATATGTTTTCCTTAAGCCATTAGTACCTTTCAAAAATTATCCTCCCAATTTTTCCTCTGTGAATACATCCAGATTTCTAAAACACCATCTTTAAGAGTTACATATTCACATTAATATTTCACAAGCATCTAACCTGCAACATCATCCCAAGTAGGACAATGACGACACAAGCACTAAAACCTATCTGGCTGACGTCCACCAACTCAGACACAGACACAGCAAAAGCTGTATTGATATAACACTACAAACACTGCTATATATCCCCCCAGACTGATCCGAACTTCTTTCCTGTCGCCCTGAAGGTAGTCAGCCTCTCTTTCTGACCACCAAATACCTCCGAACACACTGTTCAGGAAACGAGGTAACATGACTGTAATGAGTGAGGCTTTAAAAGCATCAATCTGAAGGTGAGTAAACCTGCAGTGGGATAAAGGAAGTTCTGTATACAGGCAAGCTAAATAAATGGGTTTTTAATGGCAACCGTTCAGAAAAACCCCAAACATTAAACCCGTCTCCCGCAGTCTCTGGTACTGGCGGGCCAGAGGAGTCAGCTAAAGGGTGAGGGGGATGCGTGGGGTCACGTACCCCCACCTCGCCCTCACCAATCCACCTCATCCATACATCCACCCATCCATCCCTCCGCTCCCGGCCCTGCCGGCGGCGCGCGGGCGGACGCGGGAGGGCGCGTGCCGGGGGTCCCCGCAGGCCGGGCCGGCCCGGCCCCGTGGCTCTGGCCTGGCAGCGCTCCCGGGCACCGGCCGCCGGGAGCCCTCGCTGGGGGCCGGCCCGCCCGGCCTCCTCGGGCCCCGCCGCCGCGCTTCCTACGGCCCCCTCCGCCGGCTCCCAACGGCCAGCGGGCCCCGTCTCCCCGGGAATCGCCATTCCTCTCCCCGAGGCCGCGGGACGGGCCCACCCCCGGCGCGGGGAGGTGGGGCCGGGAGGGGAGCGGGGTCCCCGCGCAGGCCGGCGGGGCGCCCGCACCGTCCCCCGCTGCCCACGCTCACACGGGGGAGGGTGGCGGCGGCGCGCAGGGGGAGAGGTTCTGACCTCCTCGCTCTTCAGCACCTCCTTGAACTCCCGCTTGATCCTCTGCACCGCGATGTTGGCCATCTCCGCAGCGGGCACCCCCTCGCCGCCCCTCCGCGCCGGGCCCAGCGAGCTCCGCCGTCGCTCCGCTGGAGAACTCCCGGCCCCACCAAAATGGCGCCCGCGTCGAGCATGCGCGGTGGGGCCGCCGCTGCTCCTCAGGAGGGGCCGCGAGAGCGCGGCCGGAGCGGCACCGGGGCTGTTGTGGGGCCGGGGCTGGGGCCAGGCGGTGCCGGCGAGGCGGCTGCGCTCTCGGCCACCTCCTGCCCGCTGCCCCCGCGGGGAAGGGTGCGCTGCCCACCTGGGGACGCGCAGGGGTCCGCCCTGCTGGCCGCCAGGGACACTTGCCCGCAGACCCGCTCGCGCCGCTCGCCCCGGCACGGGCCGGGCGGGCCCAGGAGAGAGCGTGAGGAGGAACCTCCTCGGGTAAAGCCCGCAGGCACAGCCTGCCCCGGGCCACAGCGGAGGCCGTTGTTTTGTCACGGCTCCCGCCAGGTGAACCCCGAGGCACCGGCTGGGGAAGGGGTGACGGAGCGCTCTCGGGAGGGCTGGGCCGGTCCGAGGTAGCGGGGGGAAAGCCTGAGGTGTCCCAGAGGAAACAGCTGGCATGTTTGCTAGGGAAGCCCCCGAGCAAAAAAAACCAGGAATGTCTCACGTGCCTTGAGAATCTAGTCAACCTGGCCCATACAGCTGCTCCCATGTATGTTTTTCCCCTTATGCTCCCGGACCAGCGATTTGCCCTCTTTCCACCCTCACCCTTCTTTTGCGGACGCCGGTGTCTCCTCACACGGGAGGCCGAGGAACAGGCAGCTCTGAGGGGACAGCGTAAGGAACTGTTTCTTTCTACGGATTCTGCTACAAGATTTTGAAAGTAGAGTAAAAGCCGAACGTCTGTCCTGCCTAATGGACTGTTACGTTTTATTGCAGAAGCAAACACGAGGACCCACAGATGTTGCTTCTGTTCTGGAATCTGAAATAGGATAACACTAATCATCCCTGCTAGCTTGAGCTGTGTAAAATAAGGCAAGCTATGGAAGGGCATAGATAGATTTTCAGAGGGGAACGTGAGATTGCATTTAGAACTGTTGTTTATTCAGGAACTAGAGGCTTTCAAGACATTAAGGTTTATAGAAACAATTTATAGGGCCCCCTTTTAACCGTGCACTGCAGGACAATGTACGACATAGACATTTATCTCAGCAAATGTCTACTTCTGGTATGGCTGTCATCTGCAAGTGCTGTTTATTTATCTCCATTAGTATACACAGCATTTTGACTTTTATATACACAGTAAAGAAAGTATGAGCCAAACAAACAAAAAAAAAAATCTGGCAACTTTATACAGAAGCATCTAGTCCTTTCTCTGTGTGTTTACTCTTCCCCTTTGGTTTGACTGGAAAAAGTCAATTTTTCTGCAAAAATGTTGTACCATGGGCATCTGTTCATCAAATTAGGTCTTCTTCAGACTGAAACTTGTTTTAAATGTGTTGTACAATGCAGCTTTTCAGCTGAGGTTTTCAGTACTTTTTGAGAAGGACCATTTTGCAGTAGATCTGATTTCTTTTTAATGACTTACGGTATGATCTTGGACCTTCAGAATAATTTAGACATCTAAGTCCCACTGATGTGTCTTAAGTTCCTTTTGAAAGAGGTAGGCTGTGATTTTCTGTGCCATTGGCTCTCACCAGTAAAATAAGGGTAATAACTCTTTTCTGCCTCTTAGAGCTCTTAGATGAAAGTTCGGTCTATGGTGTGCTGTGCTCCTATGAGAACTATAGACAAAAATTATAAAGGTAGTACATAAAATCTCTGGGTTAAATGCCTCACATATTTTAAGAAAGCTCATACAAAGAAGCTGATCTTCTGATATTCAGATTTTGCTCTGAATGGAGTGGAAAACATGACCTTTATCAAGTGTCAGAGTCCTTTGTGTTCCCGTGAGTATACTTGTATGTTATAGGTAGTAGACATCCAGTAAGGGCCGTAGTAAAGGGCAATGATTTTGCCTGGTTTGTACCTAGGTTCATTTTTATGTGCTCATTTGGATTACAAATGTCAGAGTCTGTTACTGCAAAAATGAAATTTGAATGAATACTATGAATTACTGTATCTCTTTTCCTTAGTATACCCCACTCCTTTCTCTTGCCTTAAAACGCATCTTTCACTTATCTCACAGCTGTTTCATAATCTCCATATACTGTGTTAATTTTCTCTTGCTGAAAAATAGGAAGGCTTTTTAGGTGGTAGAACAGAGCAATGATGAGTTTTGACAGGATCAAAATTACATAAAAATCGGTACCTTATGTAATCAGCATGCTGGGGTTATCATTGTATACCTCCTATATTTTATGCTTTATTATAGTTTACTATTTTACAGAAGACTCTACAGGGTTTTAGGACAGAACAGGACCATAGACTAGCAGTCTTAGAATAGGGGCTTTGAGTTTTTATTTTAGTTTGCTTTAGGGTTTTTTTTTTTTGTTTGAGGCTTTTTGTTTGGTTTTGTTTTGTTTTTGTTAAATAAGAAAATGCTTAGAAAAAAAATTATAACATCCCCTCTTTGTGTTGATTTCAGTGACTTCCATGTCTGACTCCATAGTATATTTTATGGTATGTTGATAATATAGTCCTGTGTTTATCCTCTGAATTAAGTTCTCATTAGTCTTTTGCCCTTAGAAAAATCCATACACAAAATGTAAAACTCTAGTCCATTGAACATAGTCAGCTCACGTTTTGAATTATAAAATTTTGTAGTGTATCTGATTTCAGGAGATAGCTCTTTCATTGATCCTATCATCAATTTAGCCTCAAACCAAACAGTTCTTTCAATAGCAACTTTCACAGACCAGCTGCAGATTGGTCTATTCTTTTGTGCATTGGTGTTGATCAGAACTAATAGAGCGGGAGATACAATTCTGAGTATCCATATTGTTTACTATGTTTGGCATATTGCTTTGAAGTACTTCTGGAAGTGGGAGCAGGAGATACCGTATATAAATAAAGTTCAAACTATGTAAGATTACTGCAGGAGTAAAGTTAATCGGATCAGTGTCTGTAACATAAGGTCAGTGGTTGTAAGGCCTCAGCCCAAGCTCTCAATAGGGAAAGGCTGACAATGTTCATTAGCCAATGCTAGGATAACCAAAAATCCTAAATCATGTATCCTGTATCATTTCCCATGTCATATGGGAAGTACTGTCTATCATACAACCTATATATAGGACACAGTTGCCCACCTTTTCATGGAAAAGTGGCTGTTGCTCATGCATAGTTTGCGCGTGTTGGACTCACTGTACGTCCAAATAGTCACCATGTGCATGGTCCATCTCTCTGAGACTGTGGATGCCCCACAACCCTGGTGTACTGCCTGGGGACTCCAACGTGTTTATGACACCACTAAGTATGATTAAATATATGTTCTTCAAGTTAAAATTCTTGGAGATCTTTTTCTCACTTCCATATTTTCCTAATTTTATTCTGTTCATATCAATGGGATATTTTCCTATTAGAATTACTCAGAGAGAATTTGGAATTATTGAGGTTGTTCCCCATGATTACAGGAAAATTACATTTTTGAAATGATAGCTTTCCAGCATGCAGCATTCTGTTCCTCTTTTGCTGTTTTATATCTTGCATAACAAGACTTCCCCCTCCTCATCTTGGCTTTAGTTTAGAAAAATCAAAACTATCGGGCTTGATCTTCTCTCATTGTTGCTGGAAGATTTCTTATTGGAGAGGAGAGCTGTCTCAAGAGATATGTATATTGATTTCAGTTACTTTAGAAACAGGGGTTGAACCTGTAGCATTTTTAATTCTTATTTTATTTATTTCATGAGCTATCTACATGAGTATTAACTTTAAAGGCTACGTTAGTATCAGATTATATGCATTTTGCATTTAAATGTTCATATGCTCATTTATAATAATGCTTTATTTTAAAAAAATCAGCAGCAAATAATATTCATATAACTAGGTCGATTTTAAATTTAACCTTCTTTTTCCACTGAAGTTACACCTACAGTCCTCTTTTTATGATCCCAGCTTTTAACAGAGAGGCCTACATGCCAGAAATTGTCTTTTTTAGCTGCATATAATTCAGCAATTTCAGAGTCTACAAGTAAATTTAGCCCGCACGTTTATTGTCTGTCATAGTGTGTTCCTGTTGTAGCAGCATCTGGATGACTCAACTTATTGCAAAGATTAGCTTTATTTATAAAAATAACTAACTGGTCGTGCAAGTTGACCGAGTTTTAAGTTGTCATCTTAACTTTCCTGTTCCTCCTATAGGTGCCCATGTCTGGTTGCGTGGCCAGGTGTGAGAGTGCCCTCTCCTGGGTGGAACAGGCAGTTTGGCTTGCTCGCTTGAGACGGATCCCTCTGTTGGGAAGCCCTTTGCCTTACAAAGAGCTCACGGTACTGTCACTGCCTTGAGGAAGAACTTGTAGGAGTTCTGCAGGCAGAAATGCCAAAAACAGGAGAACAGAAACTAATGCGATGTTACGGAAGAGAGAGAAGGTATTCACTCATGATGCCTGCACTTAACAATTTAGATTTTTCATGTAATTAGCAGCTGACATACATGCATTAAAAGGCACTACGGGTTCTAGCTAAACATTAGAGTGATCTGAAGTAATTCAATTTGAATTCATATGATGAAATTCATCTGATTTAGTGGAGTTAGACCAGAAATCAATTCAAGTATTGATTTTACATCAATCCATCTATGGCTTAAACAAGACATAGCAAAGTTTTAATTAAATAATGAATGTGCAGAAATTTTTGGTAGTTTAATAACACCCTATTATTCTTCACTTGTAATGAACTTCTATTATAAATTGACAGGACACCCTGGACTTCTATTAATTTAGTGGCCTGCCAATATCTTCTAAATTAATGTTACATCTTGGTGAGGTCGACAAAGGTTACATAAAGACCTTTGTTCTGTTCCCTACACTTCTCTTGCAGTTGTCTGAGAACGAACACCATGTCTGTGGTACTCCTGTTGGCTCTGAAACCACACTGACTTTCAGGAAGGATTCCTTCTGCTATAGCGGGTATTAGTCTGTTCAAGAGTATTCTTGCCAGGATTTTGCCAGCAATGGAGAGCAGAGTAATACCACGGTAGTTTGAGCAGTCAGATTTAATTCCTTTCTTGTTATACAAAGTGAAGATGACTGCATCACGAAGGTCAGATTACGCTTGAAGAAAAGCACCAAGATCAGTGTTTACAGAGCCATAGTGCTGTCGACTCTCTTGTATGGTTCCGAATCATGGGTCACCTACTGCCACCACCTGCGACTCCTGGAACGGTTCCATCAACGCTGCCTCCGAACAATCTTAAACATCCACTGGTCAGATTATGTGGCCAATACATCTGTTCTAGAGCAAGCAGCAGTCACAAGTATCGAGGCCATGTTGATGAGAACACAGCTGCGATGGGCAGGGCACGTCTCCAGGATGAAGGATCACCGCCTCCCTAAGATCTTGCTTTACGGTGAACTTGCCACTGTCTGCCGCATGAGAGGAGCCCCAAAGAAAAGATACAAGGACTCCCTGAAACAACATCTCAGCCTTGGCCATATTGATCACCATAACTGGTCTACTCTGGCCTCCAGTCGGGAGGCCTGGAGACACACCATCTATAACGCAGCTGTCTCCTTTGAGAACACACGCAGGATCACTCTCGAGGAGAAAAGGCAACGCAGAAAGAACCGTGTCTTGCAGAATACACCATCTAAAGAGTCTTTCTACTGTGCCTTTTGCAATTGGATATGTCTGTCTCATATTGGCCTCATAAGTCACCAACGTACCTGTAAAAAATGTGGATAGAGCCTTCCCAAATCTTCGTTCACGAAGCCCAGCCATGAATGTTACATCTGAATCTGATGTTTCTGGTCGGAAAACACAGATATAAACAGACTCAATGCTTTTAAGTCTGTTTGCAAAATTACTGGGTTTCTAAGCTTCCACTTCTTTGTGGAGGAGTGATTTTCAACTGGTGGTACACACACCTCGGGGTCTAAGGGCCATTTCTTGTGGCTTCATGAAGAAAAAAAAAAGAAGGGAAAAAAAAGCAGGTACAACTGTGAGATAGTTCTTGTGATTTTGCAGGAGGTCCCCAGTTTATTAATATTCTTAAGGAGCAAGCATCTACCTTGAAAAATTTGGCATCTGCAGACTGACAATTTGACTATAGGGAACTAAAAGCTTTCTTAAAAAGGAAGATGTGTAAAGCTACGCTACTTTCTTCCTATTACAAAAAGAAGATAGCAATCTTTTTGAGGGTCCTTTCAAAGTGAAAGCAAGTTGTGAATATAGAAATAGTTTTCACAACCTAACATGGCTATTATTAGTAGTTTAATGAATATTAGAGTTATAAGGGAAGAGATAACTTGGTCCACAGTACAAAGCATTTAGTCATCATGCTGTGTTGCTGGTATATTGTTTTCCACTCAGAAACATTTTCTACACTGAGTGAAGAATTTATCCCATTTTAAGTATTTTGTATTACCATCTATTAATGTAATAACTTATAGTACCTTATCAAATCTATGTAACTTTATGTAATTAAATATGGTGATCTTTCATAGAAAGGTACAAAAGGGACTTAGAGCTGCCTTAAAAGGGCAGCCGGACAGTTTTTCTTGGCCAGCTGGACATTATCTTCCCCTCATGTCTTTAGGATTTGTGACTGAATAACAATTGCTGCTATTTTAATAACTAATAGGGGCTGAAATCAGTTTCAGGCTGATGCTCAGAAAAACCTCCATTTTGTAAATGTCATCAGGACTGAAGTACACTGGACCTTGAAGATGGAAGCTTAAATTTGTTGTTCAGTGCAGTGGTAGCCAGGGAAATACCTAAATGAAGCAAGTAAGAGAGAAGATAAAATGACAATATTTTGAAGTGATTGGGGGTAGAGTTAGAGTCTCTCATTAGGAGAGTTGGGTTTAGAACTAGAACTTGAACAGCAAATAATTATGAAGTAGTAATTGAATGAATGCGGGAATCCAGGGTAGATGAAAAATAATCCTCCTTTCTTTGGCAGTGATCTTTAATTGCTAAAATATTTTCATATTCCTGACAGTGTAGATAAGCTAACTGCTGGGAAGCTCATCGTGTACAAAGTGGTCCAACTGACAGCATATATATCAAATGTATGTCTCTGGGATGCCTCCACCTGGCTTTCTGTCTTTTCCTTTGAGAATATAGGCAACACTTATTCAGGGAGCATATGTTGTAAATGGTTCTCCTACATTATCACTGTGTCTTCTGAGGAGAAAAGGATGGGACTAAACAGCTTTCCTCTTACATGTATGTACCTTGAGACATAGAGCCATCCATGCAGGCTGCAGAGATGGATTAAGCTCCTGCAGGCAATAGTGTTATACAGTACATGTGGTCCCAACTCAAAAAAGGTTTCCAGCCTTTAAGAGAATATGCATTAAAGATGTATGAATAACCACAGTATAATACAAGAATATGTGCAGTAAAATCAGAAGTGAAACCACAGACAGAACATACTCCAGTATACTTTGCATCTGTTAAGAATTCCTTCAATGTTCTCTCTATTTTGTAAAGCGCAAGACATTTTAGGGATCCTGAAAGGTAAGACAATACCATTCCTTTTAATAAAAAAAGAAATCTGGTGCTCTTGAATTCAGCTATTATTGCTCAATCTAGCAATTTTTGATTCCAAGGCTTTTTGAAAATTGTAACTAGAATTTGAACTTATTTCTAATGATGGCCATCTTGCTAAACTACAATATAATCTGTCATGATGGGCATCAAATCCAACTGAGGAAAGTCTTTTGGAACTGTCTACAATAAAAATTTACAAAATAGTTAAGTTTGTCAGAGATCATCCAGAAAGAGCTCAGCCATGACAGGTGGGTAATTTGTCAAGCTGTATTGCTGTTGATATGTTGATACCATCCTAAAATAGCTGCCTTTTGGAGACTAGAACAATTTTGTATTAGAAAAAAGAAAACCCGAACTTTTCTATTAATCTTACTACCGTAGAATAATAATTTAGGGTTAAATCATTAAGTCTAAATCCCTAGTCACTGTTTAGACCACAGCTGTGTAAAAAGTTAATTAAACTGCATTTGAAATCATAGAAACTGGTAAGGACTAATTCAAGAATACAAGTCAAGACAATCTGATTTGTTGTTCTCCTAACCTGATTGTCTCCAGTTTGGCCATATGGCTAGAAAGAACATAGCACCTGGTAAGTTATTAGAGAACATGGAGGATAAAGTCAAGTTAAACAAACAAGGCTCAAATAGTGTCTGTATTGAGTAATGTACAGTTTCCCTGAACACAGCCATTTCTCTGCTCTGTGGATCTCTGCCAGGCACCCAATGTGTCACAGAACAGTATCTAGAAAATCCCTACTATTCTATGTCTTTCTTTTCAGTAGTAGCATAAGCCTTTGTTTAGGTGAAAGATCTAGTTTAGGTGTAAGGAGTTTCTTGTCTTGTACAGTTTTCTCAAATGAAGGGTAGCAATTATAGCAGTTTCAGTGAAGTATAACCCATCGCATAAAATTCCCTATTACAGCTTTCCCATCTTTCTAATAGAGTGCAAAAAGATCACATGGTAAATTGGTACTAGTCAGCTTTTAAAGACAGTATTCTAGACTGTATTTTTCTTTCCTCAACTAGAGGTTAGTCATGCTGGGAGGTGGTCAATCATGCTGTATGATTTCCTCTCAAGGTTTTACAGATTCTAACTCTTAGTCCTAGGAATTTTGTGATGTAACACTGTTGGTCCATTCCCCAAACACAGAGCAGACATAAAAGATATTAACACTTGCTGCAGAGTTATTTCTAGGTGTTGTACTATCCCTGTATTTTGACAAATAATTTTACTTCCTCTGAAATTGCAGTGAAGGTGCTTTGCAGGTGTACCTGCTCCTGGGCTCCCTCTTGAGTGGCACAGTATCACATAATCACAGCATAGTCAAGGTTGGAAGGGACCTCCTGAGATCATCTAGTCCACTCTTCCTGTTAAAGCAGGGTCAGCCAGAGCAGGTTGCCTAACAGGACCATGTCCACTTGAATATCTCTAAGGATAGAGACACCACAGCCTTTCTGGGCAGCCTCTACCAGCGTTCAATTACCATCAGAGTAAAGAAATGTTTTTCGTTGTTCAGCTCTTGCTCTGTCACCAGGCACCACTGGGAAGGGTCTGGCTCCCTCAGTAGTTTCTCTGCTGAGGAGTTGGGCTTCTGTTATAATATAGCTTTGGCTTCAAATCTTTCCATCCTTTTTTTCAGGAATTACCTTCAGTTTTAGAGATGTCATCTATGTCCACTAATTACTTTAGTCACTTAACAAAGGATAAGAACATTTAAACACTGAAAATGTAAATTCATACTTTCAAACACTGAAATGGTTTCCCTTAATCTGTGTGGTGTTTTTGCAAAATCTATAAATTGTGAAATGTGAGCTGAATAGAATCATAGAATGGGTTGTAAGGGACCTTAATGAAAACTTAGTTCCAAACCCCTGCCATTGGGGACACCTTCCACTAGACCAGGTTACTCAGAGCCCCATTCAACCTGGCCTTGAACACTTCCAGGAATGGGGCAGCCTCAGCTTCTCTGGA